AAAAAAAAGTAAATAACTAGTTCCTCAATTTATTTAATACTCTGTCTCCGTCTTCGGTGGATAAATTCTGGTCTTCGCATGGACGCGTAATCGTCGGCAGTCTCGACAGGACTAGGAGGAAATGGGGATGACGCCGGGAAGAGGAAGAGAAATGGAAGAGAAATTGTCGGGTGAAAGTGGCGTCGGCGCAAAAGTAAGGGATGAAATCCAACCCTCCGATCAAACTAGCTAAATTTTTGGCGATTGCACCTCAGCTTTCTCCATCCCCAATATGAGTATTAAAAAAAATTAAACTGTCAGAAAATTGAGATTGAAATTCAACTGAAAAATTCCATTCGTTTTTGATTTTCACATTGATTAATCGGTTAATTGAATATTCAAGTAATAATCAATTTTTTTTAATTGTGGAAACTGTGGAAAAATCAGGAAATGAAAATTCTAAATTTCCACCGAAAACCGAAAATTTCTTGAATTTTCAAGATAAACGACAAATTTAGTGAACACTTCGAATTAAAAAAAAAATTGTCAGAAAGAAAATTAATTAGAATAAAAATTTAATTCAAATCCACATAATGAGAATTATTTTGACATTCCGGATGATTAGAAAGCCAATCCTAGATTTTCCCGAGTTTTCCTGATATCTAATGAATTTTCGTGGAATAATATGTAACGAAAAAATCGGCGGAAAATTCCCACAAAATTCGAAATTCCCAAGACTCTCTCACGAAATTTCCATGAAAAATAGCCAAGATAGAGAATAAAAAATAATAACAGCAACCCATGGACATTTGACATTTCGCCAAAATGGCTCCATAACCGGTGCTTTCAACCGAAGATATTTACAACCCCGATGTCCTTATCAAAGTAATCAAACCAGATTCACCCTTATCCCTCTCCATTCATATCGAGTTCTCAGCTCAAGAAGAAATAAAAACCCCCGAGATAAAAGTGAAAATATCCCTGGAAAAAGAGAAAAACGGAAAATAGATGACGAGAAACAAAAGAAACTCCTCGGGATAAAGAGATGAAAGTTCTTACTGAACTTTTTACTCTAACTCATATATATATATTTTTTTCTGTTAGAAGAACTCGAGTTCTCTGATGTTTGTTGTTTTACTCGTGATATCCACTCGTCTGTATTGGTAAATAAAACGTGAGGTCCAGACTGGCTTTCAGATGTTGTTTATAAGAGGGATAAGAGGTAGAAGTCAATCATTGAGGTGAAATACGGGAGAATTTTTCCTCTCTAGGGTTTTTTTTATTCCCTTACGCTTTTTTGAGGTTAGGAGAAGACTTTGTCTGTCAATATTTTTGTATCTGGTGAGAGGATAAAACGAGGTGGATAAGAAACGGTGGGATAGGCCCGTCAGATTGTGTTGCTGGTGTATTTTCGATATAAAGCTAGAAGATAAAAAGTACTCGAGATGTTTTGGATCACGTGTCGGTGATCTAGGGACTTTCACAGAGGAATATTGTGATGAAAGAGGATGTAACTGGTAACGAGAAAAGGGTGAGTACGTGAGAAGATTACGGTGGTGCAATGGCCGATGCCCAGGAGCAAATTTATGAGTAATTAACAATTTTATCATTTTTTTTTATATCTCGAAAAATGTGAAAATTTTTGGAAGGGCATGGGGACGGTCTCATCGGGTAGATCCGAATAAATGGGGTGGAAAACACTGGCTGCCGAGGTCATTACGTCCAGTAGTTCAGAAGTTAGAGGGGATAATGTGATCTAGGGGAAAATTAAGGTCTGGGTGGATAGGGAGAACTGATGGCTCTATTCCTATCGATTCGTTGCTCTCAAATAATTTCTCTAATTAAAGTTCAAATACTGAAAATAGTCAGTGCCTTTTACGATGCTAGAGTCTAGGGTAAAAATGCGTCTAGGGAAAAAATGGATTCCAACCGTGAGCCAGTGTTTGCCATTGATTATTTCGCCGCCTACATGCTGAGACCAGTTCTAGAGTAAATTTCGGGTGGGGGATTGGGTGTAATCCTAGATTGTCTGACTCTCCTCGTCGATTTTTTTATTTTTTTTTTTTTTTATTGTCGAAACAGAAACGAGGGCAATGGCTTGGACGAAACATGCTGCGGCAGGGCAATTTTCTGTCACCCAGTAATCCGCAACATACCGGTAAACCATGCAATCTCATCGTGCCTCGGTGAAGCAATCACGTGGTCAAGTATCCTATGGCTATTAACCTGCCTGTCAATATTGACAGTTGCCTTTGGTACATTGTATTTTCTCATTGGCCCATCCATGACACCAGGTATCATCACTCTATCAGTTCAATTAAATTCTCCATCGATTACGCGACGTAATAATTAACAGGATCATCCGAGATAATCAGAAATATAAGAAAAATCAAATTCATCTAATTAAATAATCCGGGGAATTCCCGCATTTTACGCGCGCTATTTCAAAATCCGATATCAATCATCCATCAAAATGACAATCTCCATTTTATATTTATGTTTTTAATCCGGTGGATTAAATGGGAAATTTTTATAGTCCGATGGCAAGATCATTTTTTTTTCTCTGTCAGTTGAGTCGTATGGGGTGACGATAAAAAATAAAAGGACTGGGAATTTGAAGACGAGGCCCTTAAGGGTAATGGGAAAAATAATTTTCTAGGTGGCAGTTTATTTGGACTATTCTGGCTAATAGTATCGTCCTACGCTCTCGGTTGGAGTCTCGCATACATCCCATATCTCAATATACCACCTGTATTTGGTATGCTACTGGCCGGTATGATTTTCAGTGGAACTGGAATTTACGACATACATGAGGAAATTGGAGCTGGTACAACTGGAAAAATTCGAACTATATGTCTGACATTTATTATGATACGGGCTGGCTTGCAGCTTACGACAACAGCCATTCGGAGACATCCTTATTTTTTGCTATGTCTAGCACTTATTCCATGCACAGTTGAATTTTTTACTGTTGGATTGGCGTGTAAATTTATTCTGGATTATCCATGGCACTGGGCATTTCTTACCGGGTAAGTTGTCAAACTATTTTACTACTTCGGTAAATAAAGGAAAAAAAAAACGTGTCAATGGATTTTTTTATGAGGCACTTCCTCGCGATAAGTTTCAATACAGTCGAGCAGTAAAACTAATCTCATTCGATTGTTGGAGATGTCCTCGAAAAGAGTAGCTGACCATTCTCAAGTTTTATCCCTCCTCCTTTTTGTTATTAATAATTCCGTGGCAGAATGCGTCTGTATTCTTCAATTTGAGATCGAGAATTGTCCGAGTTACCGAAAGAAACTATTTCTATTCTTCTCTTCCTTTCAACTCCCGAGACATTCACGAAAAACTTGAAAGTTGACTGATTTGGCCCACACCATTTTCCCGCGACCGCAAAAATTTCATAAATAATCTCAATAATTTCCTGAATAATTCTTGGACAGAAGTAAATGCAATTCAATTTCTGAAAGATGAAATCCTCCGTTCCCACTGGAGACCTGAGATATTAAGTAAAAACTGAAACCATCAACAGCAAATCTGTTGAAAAGGCGGCATTTTTTTTGTTGAATCGCGATTATTTAAACTCTCATTCTTTTTTTCAGAACAATAGTGGCATGCATGTCACCAGTGGTGACAGTAAACTGTATTCTAGCATTGGCAGACAAAGGGTATGGTGAGGACAGAGGTATGGCGACACTCCTCTGTACAGCAGCATCGATCGACGATGTTCACATAGTTTCACTTTTTTCCGTCTGCTACTCATTCGTCTTTACCGGTGACATTTTTCTCATTAAATATATATAAATATATTTTTTTAAATGCCCGATCTAATTAATCATGACGATATATTTTATCCAGATAAGGACGACCACGGTTTATCGTCGTATATACCGCGTGGTGTACGTGATCTTCTGATTGGTTTAGCAGTTGGTCTGGTCCTTGGTGTAATTTTTACTTTTCTGCCTCACAGAAATACGGTGAGTCCATTAAACTTTTAGAAATAATCATCTAATTTCTGATGTCGTTGGAGATATCCTGGTGGATGAATGAAGACGAAAAATACGTAGAGTGGAAAACACTGAAGACAATAACCTTTTGGAGGATTTTATCTGGATGATTTCTCCAGGAACGTCTCCAATGAGAGGACACACATTTTCTTTTTCTCGACTGGTTAATTGAGAGAGAATTTATGGGAGGGAAATTATTATCAGTCAAGTTTTAAACCCGGAAGATCAAGACTTTCCAAAGGTTTCCAAAGCATCACGAAATGTGAGAATGGAATAGACAATGGATAGAATAGATTCAACCAAAATTTTCCCAGTCATCCACCGGAGTATCTCGGAAGAATCACTAAAATTCACTTGATCTCTCCAAAGTTTAGAAGTACGTGACGTGGTACAGAGTAGTCTCACTCGTTCTGGGATGTCTCATGTGCACCATAGGTGCTTCAAAGCTAGCTGTGACTGGTGGTGGATACTTAGCAACAGTATCAATGTCTTTCATAGCAGCGAGGGGTTGGAAACTCCTATCTGGTGTAACATTCGACGTGACTCCACTGCGTCTTGTAATCCATTTCATCTGGCACTTTATGCAGCCAGTGCTAGTTGGAGTCATTGGAGCTGAGATTGACTTCACCCTGTGGTCACCCGAGAGATTTGGCCTTCATGTCCTGTGCATAATCCTGGGTCTTGCTGTGAGTTAATGGTGGATCCATTGAAGGGGACAATCAGCCCATAAAATATAGCTTTTCTTCATTCAATAAAAAGCTCCGAAAATATTCAACTTCAGATTCGGTTCTTCAATCCTTTCACCCACAAGTTGTGGGGCAAAAATTCTCCCAACTATTTGCAAATAATATCCGGGAAAAAATTGACTTGATACTAATGTTTGAGATCGGAAATTTTCCTGTTAATCTGGTGATACTATTTTCATTCAATTTCCTCGAGTAGAAAGTGCAGAAATCGATGGAGCAAAGGAGAGAAGTTTGAGGCAATGGCCTTCAGCCAATGTTGATGTTTCATATTTATGTTTTATCGACTTTTAAAAATTCTCCTACAGGCTAGAAGTGCTTGCGCCATTCTGGCGACCTATCGCACCCCTTTCACCATGAAGGAACGAGTTTTCGTGGCATTCGCTTGGTTACCGAAAGGCACACTCCAGGTAATTTATTTAAATATTCGTATTTATCCATTTTCATGTGAAAAATAAATGCTTTCGTCTCCAGGGACTTGTCCTTTTTTTTCACTCTGTCATCAGAAACATTTTCCCTTACTCCGAAGGCTCGTTATATTTTTAATTGAGGCCCAGGGGAAGTTGGCGATTAATTAATTAACACCTAACGGGTTAATACGCATTTTTAACTGGAGTTTAACATGATAAATTTACCGAACTATCCGTCACTCCGGAAATATCCGTAAAAAATTGAAATGATTTGACGCGAAACTCTCTATTAACGTTTTTTTACATTTGTTTTTCTTTTTTGGGTCAATCTGCTAGTTATTTTCAACTCTGATTGGGTTTATTCCCTCGGAAATCAGGTCAAACAATTTTTATCCCTCGTAAAACATTAATTTCGTTGTTAAAAGGAGAATAAAAAATGTTAATTAAAAAATTTTATAATGCAGCGAGAGCTTTCACGGTTATTGGTCCATTGATTTATCGGCAGGTTGTCCCAGTTTATTCTATGATTATTATTTACCCCCGTGTATTTTCTGCACAAAACCTCAATGCCACGAAGTTCATAAAGGAATCGATAGTGGAATTTGAGCTTTCATTAAATTACGAGCAATGCCGGGCAATTTTCAGACCGACGATCAAAGGAAAATTAACGCAAACCATTGAATGCCATTGACGTGAGTTAATTCAAAGAATTCGGATTTTAATTCGCGAGTTTTTCTCGATAAATGGTAATTGTTTTCAATTCTTAAAACATTTTTCAACCCATTCTGCCCTGTCTTTATAAAAAAAACAATGATTTCTATTTTTTTATACGGAAAATTATATATTTTTCATGTGCGCTTGAAATTTTTTCTAGATCTGCCCAATTTATATTAAAAAAAAATACGATATGGGTTTTTTGTGTTTTAGTTGATGATATATTGTTTATATTTCCCGTGGGGGTGGAATTGATGAATTTCAATGAAACAGTTGATGAAAATCAAATGAATCGCGGGCCATTTTAGCTTATTTTTAATTAGATTCGGTCTGCAAATATTTGGTATTCCTGATTGATTGAATTCTCGTGATTGTTTGATGTCTGTGGCATGTCGATAATTTATTAACAATCATTACTGATATTTTTTCCGCCCCAAGATAATAATAAAAAAATTGAAAAAACCAAGAAACAATCACAATAAATTCGGTATCTCTCTGAGATTCGAAGATATTCACCATGTGGCTTCAGATTATTTTTTTAAACTTCCATCCTGAATTTAAATACTGAGAATTCTTCAGCATCCCTTTCTGACTATTGACTTCAAATTTTTCGGACAACGAACCCCAGAAAATTCTAGATTAATCCCTGACAATTAAAACTTTCTTCCCTACGATTTGTGGATTATCTTTGGATTTTTCCTTCCCGTTATGCAAGTGTTATCTCAAATACTCCTGATTGTCAATCTGTTTTTGTTTGTATTCTTTTGCAGGCAGCCCTGGCACCAATGGCACTAGAGGAAGCTCGTCGTACTGACGATGAAAATGAAATATCTATTGCTATAGACGTCGTACGTATATCAGTCGTTGCTATTGTCTTTCTGGCGCCACTTGGTGCTGTTATTATGATGGTATCAGGGCCATTACTATTAAATCGTCTCGAGGAGGATGAAATTCATCGACACAGACAACTAAGTTTCCTAAGGTGGACAAGTCTCCAACCAGTCCACAACAACAGACAACGAAATTCATCAATCAGACGCCAATCCTAATCCCTCACCACTAGGAAATATATTTCGACAAGACTGCGACTTGATGCTGAGACAAAAATAGTCTCATTTTGTACCCAAGGAAATTTCCAGCTCCAAGGCTTAATTTTCACCTCCTTTTGCCTCTCCAATTAATTATTACAAATTACAAATCACGAGAACACCTTTTGGAGGATCAGCACGGATTTCTACCCCTGTTCTCCAATAAAAATGCAGCAAAAGGAATTGAAAATTGAGCTCTTGAGTTTCGAAATTTCCCTGGCTTTCCAATGACACCATTTTCATCCCTTGATTCCTCTCCACTTCGAAGATATTCATAAATTTGTGAGAGACGTGACGTAAAATTGATATTTTTTTCACGTTTCTCTATTTATTCTCATCCTCTCCACTTGATAACCCGAAACTTGAAGCTCAATTCATTAATTCGAGGATGAAAAACTCATTAAAAATGGTTAAAACTATGGAAAAAATTAATGATGGAATGTTTTTTTTTCGGTGGGAGAAGTTATTGCGAGCAAAAATCGACCATCAAAATGTGTCGGAGAATATGTAATCGCTGTAATAATATGTGACCCCTGATTTCTCAACCGATAAAATCTCTGTATCACTCTATTATATAATAAACACAACCGTAAACACGAGTATGATTTTGTTGAGTATTTTTTCCTATCCCTATTGTTGTTCCTCACAATATACCAGTGAAATTCATCTACCATTAAACAGTGAAATGCATAACTTAAATCCTCGGTGCTCTCATGCGTTATTTATGTTAATTTCATTAAAATCTTACCTTCTACAGGGGAAGGTAATGCTCCATAGGTGGACGCCTCCGCAAAGTACCGTGGAATCAAAACACTTCAATTGTTTTTACACCAAAACACAATCCATTTTTTCACCACAGACTCGAGATAATAAAAATGATAAATAACTCAGAAAAACAGTCAACGTTTATTCACTCCCCAAGTCCAATCGTCTGACTCAATGCCATTTATTGGGTTCTGAAAAACTTGATTTTCCACTTTTCCCCCCGGAAAACAATAAAGAAAAAAACAACTGAACAAAGGATTTCACAAGTTTTCGTTTGATTGTCAGTAGTTTATCACTCGAATCACTTAACTCACTTCAATATTTATGATTTGACGACGAAACTAATGAGAAAACTCGAGAGACACTGGATTTTCCGTGATTTTTATGTGCTCCAATAAAATTATTGAAAACAAGCCGAGACAATTGATTACGTCGTGTTTTTTTTTTGAGTGGATGATTTATTATCGATTTTTAGGTCTTGATTTATTGTTTTTATTGTTTGTTGCACGATTGTTTAGTGGGTAAACGAGGATAATACTGGGGAATCAAAAATGAAATGATTATACGCGAAAACACTCGAGAAGACGAAACGAATATCACGGCGTCCGACGAGCGACTGTTCGGCGGAACGTCATAATGGCGCGGTAGCGGTAGGGGAAGTGGGGGAGGGGTTCGCCGATGCAGAGAACCTTCCCCTCACCTCTCAAACCCCTTGTTCTGAACAATAAGCACTCGGTCCTCCATTTTGTCGAGACTCGTCGCCATTTTCTACCACGCACAGACACTTTTTCCAAAAATTTTATTCCCACGGCCTCCAACATTCGTTTTTTTCCGATTTTTACATTAAATAATGATGAGTACACTTGAATTATTGTTAATAATTTTAAATAATACACTCGCGATTGTTTTTTTGTACTTTTTAGGCCCGTGGCGTGCGTTTTTGTGGCTGTTTCTTTGTTTGGAAATGGACGCGGAGAGAGGGGAATACTGGCTTGGCCGCCATTTTGGGGAAACTAGGCGAGATTTTTGGGATGACGCAATACCGGGCCTGGATGATGCCATTATTTTTGAATCGACAATTGGGGTAATCTCGTAACTGTTTTTAATCATGATTCAAATATATTAGTAGACGTGAAATTAAAAGGTAAGTAACGACATTGAAATTAATTTATAAAAATGATTTTTTCACAAGCTTTGAATTCTAGTCTAGTCTAGATTAAAAAAATATTGAAAGCCAAATCAAAAGCCGAGATTTTCACCCGGCATTAGCAATGAAAAAATACCCCGGAAGTACAAGAGCTCCACCCAAATAGTAATGATAAAAATAATTTCACCCTTGAATTCATTGCGTATTTTTTTTTTGCGTATTTCTTTTCGGATTCCAAGTCTACGAAAAATCTCACCGAATTCCTAACCTAATAAATCCGCCAGCCGTAATATTCATGTTAAAATATTGAAAGTTTATCAAAACTCGTAAAAAATAACGACGAAACCGTGAAAATAATGATAATAATATAAATTTCAATATAATTTATTCATCTTCACCCATGAATCGTCTCATTGCCCTCAAAAAAAGCCACCAAGAATTTATTTTCACCAAAAATCCTCAAATTGGGTATGTTCCCGCCATCTAGCGTTAACTCTAAAAATCTTTAGGTCCTAGGCCTACCCTATTGATCGAGAAACTCCCATTAGATTCCATGCAAGGGTCAGGAATGGAGTACCAGTGAATCCCCAGATCACTCGCATTTTATTTACTCCCTCAGTGCATCTGCAAAATAAAAAATTGTGAATGTCCCGTGATCGTTCCGCAACCCCTGTCGCTCCCCCAGAGAAAATTTTCTAACATTCACGTAATAATCACCAGAGAGATGAGCCCTGGATGAAATTGACACACCCGGACATCCACACAGGTTCGTAAAGTCCTTCTCAAATTAATTAACCACCCACCACCCCCTTCCACTGAAAAAATCCCAAGAGAATCGATTTTTTGAGTTGAATAATCCCAAATTACTCATCTCACAACGAAAATTCCCTCAAGATTTCTCTCCTGCCACAAATTCCTCCGACCGTTTCGTCATTTCGTCATTTTCTCGTGATTGAGATATTTATTTCTCCCAGGGCTTTTAATTGCCTTTGGGGAACGCATAATAATCTCATTGTTCTGATAAATTGTGGAAATAATCTTTTGAGAGTAAATATGAGTCATCACGAGTGTTCGGTTGCAGTTGAGGAACAAGATGTCACCTGATGCCTTTGTGCATCGAGCCATTGCTGAATTCATCCATTTCTCCTTATTTTCTATAAATTGTTGACCAATAAATTGACATTTCCGGACAGTTTGTTATGATTGAGTGTTGAATTCGGTTCAGGGGAGAATACACTCGGGGAATTTCAAATGTACACGAACATTCCACGAATTCAGCATTTTTTTCTGGTGAAAATCCACTATTTTATCATTTTCAGTTTTCTCCATCTCCCTTTCTAGTTTCTATAAAACGTGTCATTTAATTCTTCCCACGAAAATCCGTACCACCTAAATTAATTATCCCATATTATTTTTTATAAGTATTCAATGGAATTCATAACTCTTAATTCCATTTCTATTGTAAATTATGTAGATCCAGAATTTTTGTGGAATGTTCCACTAGGTGAAGAGAATTGATTTAGTAGATGTTTTCTCAAAACAATTGTTCCATTCTATTTCAAGGATAAAAATGGAGGAAGCACGTAAGAAGGAGCACCAGCCGAAGAAGAAGATGGAGAATTTGATGAAGAGTTTCATGTTCAGAGACGTGGGCATGGGGAGCAGCTGTAGTGCCAGCACTAGAGAATTTGAATCCATCGCTGAGACTAATTTGGTGTTGAAAGATCATGAAGAGATGGTTAGTCGAGGTCATGGACTGTATTTCATTGCCATTGCTGAATTTTCTCCAGAATTCATTCAATTAATATAACTTACTCCAATTTTTTTATATCCAGCGATTGTGTGATGAATAATTGCTTTGGACTATTCGTATTCCCATTTTGATATTGAGGATGGATTTATTTTTCAGAAATGCTTCGTGCCTGGAATAGCGAGAGCAACTTTTCTCATGGTTTTCAGTCCAGATGGGTGAGTCGAGTTAAAAAAATATCACATCAACTTTTTAACCCATTGAACAGGATTGTTAATATAAGGTAACAAAATAAATTAACAGTCCCGCACTCCTCCAGGATTATTTTTTCCAATTGTTGGCAATAATTAATATTTATAGATTATGCAAAATTAAACTACAAACAAACGTATCCTGTTCAAATGGTTGAATTTTCCGGATGAAGTGAAAAAATCGTCCCCCTAAAATCTCTCTCTCTCTCTACATATATTTGCAGTACTAAAGTGGCTTCGACACACGGTAATCACAACGTCTGCATAACAGACTTGACGACTGGCAAAAACATTCGCGTCCTTACCGGCCATCCGCGCACCCCGTGGTGCATCGCGTTCCACCCAACCGCAAATATAATAGCGACAGGTTGTCTAGGGGGTCAAGTACGTGTTTGGGACTTATTGGGTGGCTCCGAAGTATGGAACGCTGAGTCCCGAACAGTTATAGCGTCCCTCGCATTTCACCCAGTCGAACGTCTCCTGGTTATCGCAACGTACAACGAAATTCACTTTTGGGATTGGTCAGAGCCCCAGCCATTTGCGGTGGCATCAACACGCAATGAGAAAGAGAAAGTACGTTACGTGGCGTTCGACAAGACCGGTAGAAAACTTATAACGGGTATTGGTAATGTACTTCATGCACAGTCCCAGTGGGACAAGCCTCCGGAGACCCCCAACAGAACTCTCCTCCGTCCTGACTACTGGTCAACAGCTGAGCGTTCATCACCTAGCGCATCCTCTCGTCTCTATCATCTTTGGAATCATGATGGTAGTCGCTGGTGGCAGGGCAATCGAGCAGAGTGGTTATTCGGTATGGGAAATATACCGGAGTCGTTCTTCACAGCTTCGATGAATGCCAACTTGCTCCCTGCAACAGGGGAGCGAGCATTCGGTGATCCCCCATCCAATATAGCGCGTAGAGCAGTCAGTAATTTAAGATTGGTTCGTGAGATTCCCCCGGAGAATCCATCACCCTCACAATTTGAAAATGTCACTATTGAGGTACGACAGAACAGTTATGCTCCTGAGGATGCCCGTCCACCGACGGCTCGATCCAACCAGTTCGACCGGCGGACCAATGTTGACTTGCTCGATGATCTCCCTCGCCCTCTCGATTTACCACTGCCTACACCGTCACCTGACCCCCTCCGCACCAATCACCATATGAACATTGATAGAGAGCTCATAAAGAAATACTGCGCCATTAGTAGATACTTGTGTCATCGAAACCTTGTACTGCAATATGATTACCTGGTTAGGGTGTACTTCAGGTGGTCATTGCGTTATCCAAGTTCCCCATTTGATGGCCCCGTGAGGGCCCTAACTAGTGGGACAATTGGACTTCTGAGGAGGGAGTTGAACGTCATGTTTCGGCGTGTTTGGTCCAACTGGTTGGATGTCATGACACTCCTAAGGACCCATCTCGGCCACATCGGAAGACTCACGAGTATGTCCAGAGAGGCATTTGCAACAGCTTGTATGAATCAAGTGACTGGACGTCGTAGACTGAGATATTTGAGGGAGTGGCTGAGATTTCAGGCATCGCTGTGTGATCGAGAAACTGAGGATGGCATCAGACGGCAATCACTCAGGACAGCGTTGACCCAGGAGTTGTTAGCTATTCGGGATCTTGAGTATGAATTCAATCGGGCCTGTGACATGAGCGAAACAGTGACAGCATTCATAAATCGGCACACAGCAGCCCCTAGCAATGCTGAACCTGGACCTGCTGAGGAGAATCCCATGTTATCGTCTGATTTTTCTAATCTTTGGGGCAGGGAAGCCTGGTCGAGATATACACCGACGTCTACAAGGAGACTGTCAGCGCAGAGTCCTGAAGAGAATGAAGGGCCCTCTAGACGGCGTCGGCGATTGAATGATGATGTTGGTGTGAACTATCTGGGTGAAAATTCCACAGCTAGAAACTGGGTGGAGGTGAATGACTCATCAGCTTCTTCCGATGAGGGCCAGACAGCCCAGGGGCCGTATCACGGCAGTTCAAATTTCACAGTGTCTTCGAGGTCTGCCTTTCAACCGAGTGTGAGAAGAAACAGCATTGGACAAGCTAGCAATCGACTTGTTACGGATACATCTACAGCTTGGTGGAGGTCAGATAATCAGAACCAGCCATCGAGTTCTCAGTCTTCAGGTGAAACGAGATTGAGTGATAACACTAGACAAATGGGAATGAACTCAGTCGCAAGCTCGTCGAGATTACCCCAACCTGATGAAATTACGGAGAGAGCGGGAGGATCAGGTGCACCAGGACCGTCTTCAGAGTTCAGGCAATCTTCTCAAGGTTTGACTGACCAGACACAGGAGCTCTTATTTTCGCGTCAGGAACCGTCTAGTTCGTCTCAGTCTGCCCAAACTAGAACTCCAGAAGAAGACAATGATGGAAGGGCTCAGGAAGATTCACGGAGAGATAATCGGATGTCGAAGAGTAAAATATGGTCGGCCATTGTCCAAATGGTGAGATCAAACAGGCCCTCGGCCGAAGAGAACGAGGGCGGTCCGGGTCCTTCGTCCAGCTCTCAAGACGGGCCATCAACCTCCAGAAGCTGGCCGACAGATCCATTGGAGAGGTTACGTTGGAGAGGTATAGAGTCGTTACAGCGGCGGATGAATGAGAGAAAGGCATTGAGATCCCTTAGGATGAGATCGATCCTCAATAGACCGTTTTCAGATGAACCGGATTTCTTCGAGAATTTTTCGCAGAGTCTTGCGAGAATCAGAACGGGAACTGAAGCCGCTGAGCATATATCAGAATTACGCCGACGACTTCGATCCACATCAGCCCTCAGAGAGCGAAGGAATAATATGAATTCTCTTCCTAACGAGACTTCTCGGAGAATTGAAGCCTTTCACGAGCATTTTCTGGGGAGGCTCAATCCTGTGGTGACCACTGCAGGATCATCGCGAACAACACCAGCTAGAGTCTACAACTTTGACGTCACAAGACTGACGGATGAAGAAACCCAGGAGCGACTGAATATATTGAAAAACCGAATTCGACTGCTGTCTGAAGAATGGGGGGATATCTCATCCTCAGGTACACAACGCGATGAGACCGATTATCAGTATCCAAATGCAGTAGATACGATCATATCCAGAGCAAGTAGACGAATGAGAAGGGTACTGCAAAGAGAAAATCCTCCCATCCTCAGAACACCGGTTCTAGCTGCTAGTCCGATAGCGAGGGATTTTCGTAATGATTTTCCAATTCCCAGTTCCTCTTCGTACAATCAATCTCGTGAGTTTCTCAATTCTGAAAATGAAGGAATGGAGGTGGACAGCTTACACAATATACCTGGTGATGTGGACCGTGAGGAAGAGATTGAAGACGAGACAAGCAGGGTTGGAGCATCTCGAAGGGGTGCATCGGAAGTTGAGGCAATACGTAATGCCGACGAAGAAGCTGTCGGAGAGCAATCGGAGAATGGTTACTGGTTGCTCGAAGAGAACAGCAACTCCGATTCGAATCATAATGATGAGTCAAACGAGAGTCAGATTGCGCGACCTCAGAGGTGGACATCTCGATGGATTCGGATAGTCCCTCCGGACAGGACACCGGACACCATTGAGACACCATCTCAGGATCCACCGAGAAATCCGGAGACTATTGATAGAGCACTGCTCTCACCGGTTTCTGCTAATGCAAGTCGTTATGAACAGCCACCACTGTTTCCATTCAGAAGTCTTCGAGAGAATCTCAAGAAGCGTTCGCTGGAGGCTGATAAATCTCAGCCAGAGCAGGGCGGCCCCAGTGATGCTAAAAAACCTCATCCAAGTACATCGAGCTTCCTAGAACCTCAGACCTCACAAGTGGACAAATCGTCGGACGAGGACTCTTCCTTGACCTCGACCACAAGCTCCGAGACAGGTTCCTCGAATTCCGAATCACCTAGACACTTTCTCAAAGTTCCGTCATCCCAACCTGAGACTGCCAGCGAGCCGAGACGAAGTGAACCCGAGGAACTGGACTTCAGGGGTTGGAGAGTGCCTCGTAATCAATCTAATGATCAACCGGAGGAGCAATTGAACAATCTGATCAGGGACATCAGGTATTATCGATGTCAGAGGACAAGGTGGGAGAACTGCCTCACATTGGTCCGAGTCAGAATGCTCCACAACTCAGAGGAGAGCCCTCAGGGTTCGAGTGGCTGGACAAAACCCAGATGGAGCAACGAAGGCACTTCCAATCAACCATGCACATCTCAAGACGCACCAGGCTTTTCTCGGTCAAACCCGACACAGCGTCTCAGACACGCCAAGATATATGAAGCTCTGTTCCACATAATCCCTGAAGAATCAGATTTGGAACGGCAATTCTTTCGCAATTTCCTGTACCACTCGCATCCCATCAACGATAGAATGCGCTCGCGCTCTCCCAATCCCAGCAGTGATCACACCTATTCGAATCTACCTAGTAACGAAGAAGAGGAACTTCTCAATCCAGCTAGTGTTGCACCTAGGATCATGTCAAAGTGGAATGAGGATATTTGGATAAGAAGGGAGCGAGGCTCGTCCGACGAGGACGACTCGAGCTCCGATGACGATGCAGAGCCCAATCAGAGGTACTTGGGAATGAACAAGTACAGGGAGATTGTGTGCAGTGCTAGGATTGTTCAGTCGAAGCTCCCAACAGCTCAGAATCATCTCTCTCGACAGATTAGTGACCTCTCGACGCTTCTTATTCAGCATTACGATGCACTTCCCAATGATGGAAGGATCGTATCGAGAAACGAACGAAAGGGAGAAACCAGTAGCGAACAAATGTCACACGAAAATCGAGTGATACTTCACAATTCAGCGAGACAGAGGCTTGAGGCTGCCTGGAGTTTATTGTCAGAGAGACACTTGACGCGGGACGTCAGGAGGATAGACGCAGTAGAGCTGAGATGTATCCTCGTTCTTGTTCGTCAGGCACTGGAGCTCATTGATTTACTGACAGCTCAGACATTGATATTTTTCTCGGAGCAGCAAGAGAACATATGGCAGAACAGTCAAAGCTCGACGATTACACCGAGAGAGGAGAATGACATGAGCGATCTGGAGGATCTTACCCAGATTGGGCAGATGGTCGATGGTCCCTCCAGCTCAGGGCAATCTACCTCACATGGTGTTACATCGAATCCTTCGACCTCTTCGGGAAGTCAAGAAAGCACTTCGAGATCGTCAAGTGCTGATTTCACCATGAAGTGTCAGGTGATGGCTGAGAGAATTCAGAGTCAGGTGAATGCGAGGGTTTTTGATATGGCGATGAGTCGGAGATGGCTGCGGAAGCTGGAGGAGACTCTCAGGCGAGAGCACCTAGAGCCCAGTGCTTTTTTAATTGCTAAAGCGAAATTGATGAAGATCAGGTCGATACTGGGACTTGTGGGATCATCGAGATTTGGAGTGTTGCAGCGGAGAACGGGTCAGAGATCGGGGGAACCTGGAATCTCTGGTGAAACGAGAGATGATCAGAATGGTGATAATAGAGAGAATACGGATAGCAGAGACACATCGAGATCTTTCAATGTTCCTGTTGTTCAGGTCAACAATGTTCCTGTCAGTGATTTCAATAATTTGAATGCCAGGGGTAGTCAGCCAAGAAGTCCGGTCAGTTCTTTTAATGCTATGAGAATATTAAATGAACTGACGACAGCTACTAGTCACCGAATGACTCTCTCTCTATCCAGTCACTCATCTGGGTCTAACGTCACTGTTGTCAATAATCCCGAGGGTGAGAGGATACTTGGCTTGCGGGAGAGAACCCGCCCGAGGTCCTGGATGCCACAGATCAGCTGGGGGAGTTTGTTTCATCCGAGACAGCCTGGACATCCTGGACATCCTGGACATTCTGCTCATGTTGCTGCTGCTGGAATGGCAGCTGGTGCTGCTGGAGCACCTGGACCTGATCCTGGAAATGATGACTCGGATGAGATTGAGATAAGGGATCAGGTGCCCATTACCATGGCACTGCATGCACTCGAGATTCAGAGCTATAGGGTACAAGCTTGGGATTTTTCAAATGCCGAAATACCGGATGTCACTGATCCTGAGAAAAATGTTGTCGTGAAGGAGTGCAAGATTCACAATGATGCCAGTATCGATATATCGTCCGACGGAAAATATCTAGCTGCTTTACTGCCTTCTGGGCGGATCAATGTTACTACTACTCTAGGTGAGTTCGAATTGACGTATATCTAATTGCATCATTAAAATACCATATATTTATCATTTAGTTCACGATAGCAATTGATAAATGAAAACACTTGAAGACCCTCACGAATGAATCCCGAAATTTCCGGTCCACAGTGACGACCTAGTTTGCTTCACTGGATTTTCAGATATCGAGTTGTTGGTAAACTCGGAAAAGTTTTCCATTCAACTTGGAGAGTCGAGTGATGAAGGGCTCGTCAGCGACTACTTTGGAACGGAAATTTCCCAGTCAACCCACCAAATTCCTGTCTCATGTAGATTTTGTTAATCTCTCGTGATTGCAGGTGTTTATAGTCTCCAGTGGGAAACTTTGGGTAAACGCATTTACTCGACTAAAGTCGATCAGACTGTTGTATCGCTTTCAATGTCACCGACTCGTCAGCATTTGCTCGTTGGACTTGCATCACGCCGAGTTCATGCACCATCCAGGCCATTTCCAATGGCACTCATTTATAAATTTGTTGATCAACGTGGTGATGAGGAGGAGAAGGAGAAGGATACGTCTTATGGATCGAATCACGATCCGAGGCTGTATTTGGTCGACAGGAGGAACCGTGAATTGATCTATAATCTCGAGAGTGAACTGAATAATTATATCAATAATTCTATTAATAGGGGTAGAGGGGAGGGGGAGGTGAAGGATTGTAAGAAGACAATGGTGCTGTTGAGGGAGTTACAACAGGCTAATCGGGATACTGCCGGTCATGTTAGTCTTAATTGCATCAGGTGGGCACCACAGCCCGGTCAGGGCATGGTTTATGCCACAAATACTGGACTATTGAATATTCTTCGTTGATTTGCTCGTTCTCTGGGTACAAACATCAGTTTTTTCAGGTGTTTATTATATTTTCTTTTATTCTGCTCTTCGCGCGCTTGAGGGGGAATTAATCTTTGATTTTTAACTCAGTTCGAAAATTAATTGACTTGTAGGATAATCAATTAATCTACGCGCTTGAAGACAACGTTTTTTTTTCTGGTTTTTATTTTTTTCTTTGGGATTTTTTTTCGCCAGTGAAGACTTTGTGATATTGGGAGTATCAATTTCTGAATGAATTTGTGGGTTTCATCGACTTTTTCTTTTTTTTGTTTTTTCATTTTTTTAGTTTTATTTTCTTGTGATTTTGGAGGCTGAGGGGCTTGTGATTGATTTTAGGGGACAGAATTACGGATTGTTTTGACTTGTGGGGAGAAATGGAGTGATGGGGAGGCGATGGAGGTGGAAAACTGATGTTTTTACTCGTCAACTTGATCCAAAAATAATCAAATAGTAGAGTGTAAGTGATGAGGAGGATTCGGGGCAGGAATGGGACGGCGAAAGTTTGAGTACCGTAACGGTTCCAGTAATATATATCCAATATGTAAGTCGTCATTGTTTTTCTTTTATTATTTTCATGATATATCAAACAATATATTAAACATACGTTTGTCTATAAGCTATCCAGTGCTCATTCTAATGATTAACGAAAATGTACGCCACCTGGCTAAATGTAATGACTTGAATAATTAAATAATTACTGGAGAATCAAAAATTAAATAACAATCGATAGGTTATTTTTTTTTTGAACCATTATTTTTATGATCATGTATTCTCCGAGAACTCGAGTTGTCACAGTCAGACTCTTTGCTGTTAAATTATTGAATTATTTAACCATTTAATTAAACATCGTACAGCAGACTGTGGAGTAACTCTGGGGTCTCGGGCTGTTTCAGGCACATCCCTAGCTTCTCGCCTCCTCCTTCATATTTACTTCCTCTTAATTCCTCCAAGTCTCTATCAAGAATAGTTTCAATCTCCTCGTCAATGTAAATCGGATTATCGTAGCTCTTGAGGAATGAAGAAGTGCTTGGATCATTGCTGGAATTGATGGTCTCGTTGATGGTCTTCTGGATCTCGCTCTCAGTAATATAAACAGGCTCGAAGTCATTGAGACTCCTTTCATTAATGATTTCCCTTTCATTTCCCATGTCATTAGGGAGTCCCTCATTGAGAAATTCCCCAGGATCATCACCAACAGGGAGAATCACCTCCTGAATCATCGGGGAGGACCTGGTGCACTTCAGGAGATGCTGCTTGAGATTTCCAGTCTGGGAGAACTGTCGATGGCAGAAGTTGCAGCTGAAGGGACGCTCACCAGTGTGACACCTCATGTGTCTCTGGAGTTTGTATTTTGTTGCGAAGGTTTTGCCGCACTCGGTGCAGGTCAGGGAGTGGTCGAAGGACTCTAGAGAGGTGTCCTGGTCTGAGTGACAGTTCAGCATGTGGGATTTCAACGAGATTTTGAAGCGGAATGATTGCAGGCACGTGTTGCACCGCCACTCTTTCTTGTCTTGGTGACTCTGGCGATGACGACCCAACACCTCTGGCTGGTTGAAGGACATTCTGCAGATCTGAAAAGGTTGAACGTTTGATTCCCCAGGAATATTAACTCCAAACCCTTTTCCCATTCTTTTCCATTCGTTTGGAATAAAATTTTCTAGAGTTGGATTGAAAGAATTGGTGGGGGTGTCAATTAAATTGGGAATAATACTCTAAAAATTATTTTCTCTGAATTTTGGGGTGAATTATTTCCAGATTTTCTCCCACTCACTTCGCAGACGAATGGTCTCTGGCCGGTGTGAACACGTTTGTGGCGTTCTAGATGTGCCTGACACCGAAAAGTCTTGGCACATTGGTCACAGGTAAGTCTCTTGTCACTTCTCAGTTCTATCCGATCCTTCTCCAAGAGTCCACTCTCTTTGAAGTGGCTCAGCATGTCCTTGAGGACATAATCACATAAATATATTATTTAATAACAAAAATTCGTGTATTACCTCTGCAAAATCAATTTCAATGGACGGAGCAGTCAATTGCTTTTGTACATTAGCCACCATCAAGCAGAATTCATCAAAACTGCAGATTTTTTGCTCGCAATCCATACAGACGTATTTTGAGAAATTGTCGGACTCCGACACATTGAGTACCTGGAATAATTCCAGAGAATTTCCCCATCAATCAATAATTGGAGATGAGAATTACGTTCAGTATCAAATGATTTTTAACCTCTCTTGGAAAATATTTATTGATGATCGAAATAAGCACAGCTCCTTTTATCATGTCCTTAAAGACATCTGTGCCTCTGGCTTTCTCTTTTCCACATAATCTGCAGAGTCTGGGGCTTATTTTATGAATGTTCAACATCTTCGAGGTGAAGATACACAATTTTAAACAGTTCACTTCCCTAAGGCCTCCAAATCACAATTCTACAATAACCAAATAAAAATAACTCTCGAAACTCAAAATTATCAAAGAATACTTTATTCTATTAACAAAATAACATCATTTTAACAAATAATTATTTTATTATAACAATCTTTGATCTCTGGAAGACGTCTTGAGTGAAAAATCTCGTTAAAAGCCACTAAAATTACAATTTCACAACAAAAAGACGTAAATTACTGGGGAAAAACATGAATATTCCCGAAAAACGTATAATTTCATCTTTAATTATTGATTTTAATTAATTATTATGGGTTTTTGCTATTTTTTCAATCTCTCAATGAGTGGAAATATTTTAGGGATCTGCGCATGCGCGAACGTTGGCGCATGCGCTGAGGATAGACGCCAAGCGGCCATCTTGATTGCATCATTTATCGGTGAAAGTTTGTGGCGTTCGCATGTCGGTGCACGTTTTGGTCATTTATCAACAGTTCCATGTGGTGTTTTAAGTGGTACGAGCTAGTGGTAGTGCTTCCTGTGTTATCCGCTGGTGGAAGGTGCATCGTGGACCTCTGGGGAACGCCAACGATGGATAAAAAAGTAAGTGGCTTTGTGTTATTTCTTTGGCGGTTTGTTAGAACGATTTGACGAACAAAAATGGTTAAATTGAGGTGGGAAGGAGTGATCAATTCGACACTATTATTCATTCAATCAAATCGGTATTAAAAAATTGTGCTGCTCCCAGTGGATGATTTAGGGTTATCAGTTAGGAATATATTATTCGATCATGGGGAGACAGAAGAATTCAGAGGTATGAAAAGGCTTGAAATGCAAAATATGAAAATTCCATGGTGTATTTATTGTAAATTCTTCACAATAAGACAACAAGTTCAGTTCCAAGGTACTCTGGTAATTTCAGTCCACACTCTACCTCCAAATTCTTTGGGACAAATCTCCCACCAAGAAAATGAATCCCTTTGAATTTTTTTGCACACAATTTTGGTGCTGTTAATGAAATTAGCATTTCCGGTTTGATTCCCTCATCTTCTGGAGGCCCAGCCTCCACATCCCATCCCGATGGTATATCCACACTGCAAATGGGCCTCTCTGCTCTCTTCAGGTACTCGATAATGGGTACAAATTCCTCCCTCACTGGTGGTTTGAAACTGAAACCGAAGAGAGCATCGACTATCACTTTGAATTCCTTTGAGTCCTTAATGTCGGCCATTTTGTCGTGTACCGTGACGCCATTTTGTGTGCACTGGTGCATGAGGTTTTCGTAGAGTTTGTTGGTGGTTTTTTTCGGATAGTAGACCTCGGGATCGTATCCGAAGAGTTTGAGGTGTCGAGCGCAAACTAGACCATCTCCACCGTTGTTGCCAGGGCCGCAACAGATGAGGACGGGGTTGGGGATTGCTTTTGATGGGGGATAGGTCTTGGTTATGGCAATTGCACAGGCCTGACCTGCTAGCTCCATCAGCTGATCAACGCTGAAGCGGTAGGACTTGAAGAGGTCCTCGTCTACTTTTATCGCTTCCTTCTGGTTGAGGTATTTCACCATTTTCCAGGAGGAACCCGTGATGGCTCGATGAAGGCTGAGGTTAGTAGGGCCCCAGGGGTTCGAGCAGGTCTTGGAGATGGTTCTTATCATTAAATGGTAGTACAAAGTTGTTAGGAATTTTGAAAAAGATCTTGTCTACCTTTTTTTCTTCTTGATTTTATTCTCTTATTCTAAAGGGCTGACAGGTGCACAGACTTGTTGATATTTTGATAGCTTTGGTGATGGTCAACTTGTCGTTGATAATGAAATCACGCCTTTAGGATAAAAATAATTGGGAATCCGCGGGAAGTTCTCTGGATTTTAAATCGCACGTAGAATTTTTATTTATTCATCTATTTTTGTCATAAAAATGGGTGTTCTCCGGGTATTGGTGGAATAATGGTAGATTAAAGCTCTCAAGACAAATAATTTAATTTATTCAACTCGTTAACTGCAGAAATTCAACTAAAATCAAATTTATACACAATCAAAGATTTTTTAATGAAAGTTTTAACGACGGTAATATATAGGCCATTGTCGTCACTCTACCTTTTTCTGATGATCACTCTCGGATAAAAACTACGTACATCCATTTGATACATTATAAACATCGCAAATCTACTCGTAATCTCTTCTAATTCAACGACAACGTTTTTCCAATATTCATCAATAATTTTATTATTAATTATGGTATTGCGAACAGTCAGAAGGTAGCAGGCATATTTCCATTGACTTCCGGAACTCCTTCCATTATATTTATTATAATTCTCGATATTTTTGTCATCTTTAATGAAACAAAAATGATTTTCACCTCTTTCTAGTCGAAATAAAATTAACTCGGTGATTCTCCTGCGATTATCTCCGAAGGGAGTGGATTTAGAGACGAATGTCAAATGAATTTTTTTGTAGAAAATTTCATTCTACAGAAATAATTCCTCTAGCATTTTCCTCAAAATCCAAGTCTTTTTGAGATATTCGGGAGTTTATCGAAAAAATTGGAATTCGGGTGATTAAACTCTCTAAAACTACTTAACGTTCCTTTAAGTACGGTAACGACATTAATAATTTATTTCACTTTTGATATGAGTGCTTTGTTATTGAATAAATCAGGAATAATAGACTGGTGCTTTTACGGAATGTATTATCATTAAACAGAGATAAAATCCAGATATTTCAAACGTCAATACAACAAGATTCAATGGAAGTAATCAATACAATTGTTTATAATTACTTCGAAGGCAAATGTTAATGCAGTTGATTATTTTACGTCTTTTTTCGATCGTTTCTAAGCTTCGGGTGTCTATCTACGTGAATTTAAAGCTAGGAATCAGTGAGTTTAAGCTTCTCGCACGCTAATACTGCATACGCACTCTTTTCTCGTTATTATCTCTTCATAGTGAATATATTTTTTATTCTCAATCAGTTAAATTATATATAAGTTCTACGTTTTTTATACTGATCTTTATCGATGGAATTTGGATTATGGGGGAAAGATACATCTTTTTAGTGAATAACAAATACTTTTTACAATTTTTTCTGTTGATTTTTAGTTATTTTATGACCCGAGTCAGCATTTTCGAAATTTTTTGCAGTTGATTTGGGAAAAATTTTGTAGAGACTTTCATTTTCATTCGATTGACGATTTTATCGGAAACGCAAAGTGGAATCTTCAATTTCTTTGGAAGATGTCGAATTTTTAAAATAATTTTTGTATTATTGATGATTCAAATTTCGCAGGCACTTGATCCTCGTGACTTTTAACCGCTTTTTTAATTACGTCTATAGATTTTCTTATTTTAGTGCTGAATTGACATGCATTCGCTAATTTCCAACTAATCGATTAATGAGCTAATTAATGGATTGAGGGAATTAATCGAGGCGTCGGGACCTGCGTGGTGCGTAACTCGGGGGATAATTCATTATTTTTTCTTCAGTCAATTTTTAATAATTCAATTCAGTTTCGGTGGATTTAGAGAGTTTAGACGTGGAGTTTGCTCAAATCCGTGAGAAAAGACTTTGGTGTTATGATGTGAGAGGATCCAACGATAACTTCCCAATTTTTAATAGCATTTGTGACTTCGTAAGCGCAACGTATCTCTGAGAAACACAGTCCACCGACGATAAATATTATTAATCGTGGAACATTTTTAATGGTAGCTTGACCCTTGTCTTTATGCCAGTGGCCATACCTAACACTAGTTGGAGCATGAGCATAACCAGAGCTGGCAGCTCTTCCAGCCAAAAATGGAAAATGCTTTGAGTCCAATCGCTCTTCAATAGCATCTTCCATAATATCTTTGACAACTGGAGTCCAACGACTCATTTGATAAGTCTGCTCTGTTATTCTCTCCTTACGTGATACTTGATAAGGCTTTCGTCCCTTTCCATCGACATTGATTCCAAGATTAGCCATGTTGAGAATAGTCTGTTTGTCATCACCAGACACACCAGCATGACCAATCAGACGACTGAGGTTTTCCTCGCTTATTCCATTCTTGGATAATACGTAGAGGGATATTATACGAAGTTTATCGATATCAGCCACTGTCTGGTCGAGTAAAACTGGCGTTATATTGCGCATCTGGTCCTTTATCCTCTCGCCTTCAGCATCTGTGCCCATTGCCAAGTCCTGAAACAATTTCACAGGTGCAACATCGATTTATCTGACGATCTAATTACCAACTGCCTGGGTGTTTCGTACTCGGAGCAATTTTCTACTCTTCATTTTTTTTTTTGGTACAATTCTCACCTGCTCGACTTTGCATAATTTATCAACACTCCCTTGATAACGTTTCATGCAGTCCTCAGCAAGATGAAGATGTGTTGCATATTTGCTGAGTTCCTTTTGGTACTGGGGCATCTTTTTAATCATCTGGGAGAGATCTCTCATGCTTTGTTTGTCACCCTGGGGCATTCGCTTGGATTCCGTGAATTTTTTAAGATTCTTCGTCACTTTGCTGCAATAATATTTAATTATTCATATTATCCAGCAGTTGTTATTACAATCTCAGAATTTTTGTGTAAACTCACTTGGAGACAACAGCAATGTGCTCGTGTCTCAGTTCGAGCCACAACTCGTCGTTCTCGTCCAAGAGAACCTCTTTCTCTTGACCCTGGGTTGCTTCGTATCTAAAAGCATTTATTGCCTCATTAATTGCTCGATTTTAGAGTGGAAAATTAATTAATGGGAGGTATTGATCAGCGGCGGGGTGGAAGTATTGGTTGTGAGGGACTATTGTCGTTATTATTGAGGGATTTGGCTGCAGGAGCAACAATTTATTATTACCTATAAACGTCATTTTCGATGTCAAGCAAATCATAAGCCATAGCCTGAAGCGTAAGCTCATGCAGTAGAGGTGAAACACAGTCGAATCCTCGATCGAGAATCAGAAGCTGTGATCGTGCTTTCTCTGGTCCCTCACCCATTGTTGGCTCATCAGCCTTGTACGCGTCCAATTTCTGCTGGACAATCTGGGCAAGCTCCACGTTTCGATCAAAATCACTGAAAAATTGACGTTGAGACACTTGTGTTATTTCGAGTGATTCGTGCAATTGATTTGAGAGAGGAATTTATTGAATCACCAAGTATCGTTGATTCATTGAAGAATCTCGATGAGAGAATTTTATCGGGGGAGTTTAATTAGTTGTGGAGTTGTTTGATGTTCTATTAATTACCTTCGGTATCTTACTGATGGATATTCCCCCAGGGTGGCACAGAGGGTGGCTATTTGCTCGGCAATTCTCTCCATATTTGCGTTACGTAGATTTATGAAGGAGGGGTTGTAGAAACAGGCGAATGTCTCGCGTGAGTCCAGTGAGAAAACCTTCAAGGTACAATTAAGTCAATGGATTTTATCCAACGGGATAATTAACACTCAATAACAGGCAAGCAGTGAGCAAGTTGGACAATTAGTGTGTGGACAATTAGTAAAGATACTGATTCGATTTTGTGAAGCAATTAATGTAAATGGATTTTAATTTATCACTTCGGCTAGAAAATTAGTTATTTTTTCAAGAAGAGGGAATTTAGGACACATGCAGAAATTATAAGATGATTCTCAACAATCGGTTATACCGGCTAAATAACTGTTAACGATTTTAAAAATAATTATTTCATTCTCTCTTCACCTGAGACTCGTATGGGAGAAATGCAATGTTGATCTCTTTGAGGGTTTTAATCTTTCTAGCTCCTATTGACTTGCACAGATCATTGAAGAGCTCCTCCGGGCACACTGGTTGTGCAGGCATTGAATTGCAAGTTGTTATTTATTAGTCATGTGCAAGTGAAGACAATGGGAATTGAAAGAGGAGTAATTCTCAATGAAAAAATGCAACAACTCGTCTAATTACACAATTATCTCTGTAACCAGAGATTTTCAGAGAAAATGTCAAAAGACTTATTATCTCGAGGAGACAATTTTTTACAAATAATGTCAATAGATATTTTCTCTAAAATCACTTGTTATCGAGATTTATTGTCTGGTAATTGAAATGATTATTGAGAGAAATTTGATGAGTTGTTGTGGTTTTTTATTATGATACAGAATTTTTTGGTGAATGGGAAAATGAAAACAATTCAAGGGGTATTCTTGTTAGTTGATAGACACACAGGTGGGAATCAGAAAGGCTTATAGCAGACTCCAATGACATCACAGCTTTTTCATTTATTAGTTTTACCTGCTCTTCGTACGGAATAAATGCGATGTTGATTTCTTTGAGGGTTTTTATCTGTTTTGGGCCCAGGGAGTTACACAATTGATTGAATATATCGTCGGGACAGGCTGAAAATAGGATTAACTGAAAGTAATTGAATAAAAGATCTCGAGAGAGACGACAAAAAAATTATTGCGTATGCGTCGTTAAATTGATCATTAAATGATGATTGAATGAGAAAAATTGATGAGGGAAATTGTTTTCGAGAAGTCGTTCGGGTGGAATATTCTGGTGCAATTATCTGAGTGGATAGTAATTTTTTAATTTTACCTTCGGTGAAATAAACGTGCGCCGCTTTGTAAATAATTCTCCCTGGATTACTAAAGTCATCAATGAGTTTCTGCACTGATGAATTGCATGGAGTGATGAGGTAAACAGCCTCCATCGTGGGTAATGGCTCACGTTTCTTGTTTATGTCTTCAACGAGAGTTATTCCCTGGGCACTTATGTCGTGCATTTTGCAGCATGCCGATACCATTCGCATTGCCAATTGATCCACCACTAGGATACGCCACTCCACCGCACCAGCTTTTGCTGTTTTTTTCTGCTTGATGACTTCATTCATAATTTCTATCGAATTCACAGTGAAATCCCATTAAAATATCAATTTCGCTGTTAAAAAATGATAAAATTCTAACTCAGATAAATTTCCATTACGCAATTGCAAAGGATATTGATAAAATCAATTAGTAATTGATGATTTATTGTTATTTGAATTATTTGGGGGGTGGAAAAGGTGAATTTTTTGAAATTTCATTTGAATTTTTATTGGGAGTCCTTTCGAGTTAATTCTGATTTGATTGATTGAAATGAAATTATTCTTTTTGTTTTTTTGTTTGGTTTGTTTAATTGGTAGGGAAAATATCAGTTGCTCTCAAATCTTTGGCGCTTTCCCACTTATTGATCGACCTTTTCACCCGATGACGTCACCACGGGACAGTCACGTATACCTCAAAACAGCCCCTCATCCCCAAGAAATCACCGCGTAATAAAATACACACAACCCCGAAACGATTTCGTTAAAAATTGAATTTTATAAAAAAATTCGGTATCAATCCTGTTACAAATCCTATCGTTTATCACTCCCACGTGGATGAGGCCAGGATCTAGCCCCGAATTTTCATGAGGAGGAGAACTACCCCTCCCATTTTCAATGACACCAATTTTTTTTCTCAGAATATTTCCAAATTTCCTTGAAGTAAAAAATAGGTCATGAAGCCATGAAAATATTCAACAATCCTGATAAAATAATTGACATCTCATGGAAATAATTCTGTTTTTCCCAGGAAATTTTGCAGTTTCCTGGGGTCAGTATAAACCCCATAAGAAAATATTTCACGTAAATAACACAAAAAAAAGATAGAACATTTTCAAAAATTTTTACAATCATGAATAATTTGTGGATATAATCTTTTCAATTTCTATAAATTATCTGACTATCTCAGAATATTTATTCAACTTCCAAGGATCGATGTGACTCCAAAAAATCTATCACTTCACCCCAAAATTGGAAAATCTCAAATTTCCTGATTACAGTGCACCTCCTACCGAGTGATGATCTCACCGCCCCCCTGATTCTTAAAAAAATAATCAAATCCCCGGAATTTTCCCCAATTTTTCCACCCCCTCACGGCCCCCCACAAAATCCCACCCTCCCATGACTGAAAATAAAAATTTCAAATGCAAATTGAACGAAAAAACAATAAATAATTATCGAACTCACTTTGACCGACTTGTGCTTTGAGCGCCATTTTGACAGAACTGACATTTAATATATCCACCAGATGGCGGGTTAAGATCCTCCCAGATGCGCACGCATCTGGAGGGGCGGGTAATGGTGGGATCGAGGGGAAGGACAGGGGAAAATAGGGAAAAGTTGGTGGGAAGGTGGGATAGGAAAAATAGGGGAAAATGCTGGGGGTGGGAATAAGCGTCCGTTGCCCGGCCTCGCCTCGCCATTGGAATTTTATTTTCAGTTTGAGTTAAACACTCGATGCGTTAACACGAGTTATCGATACTATTCGAGTTACCGGGTAATTTATTCTACCACTTGCCACTGACATTCACGTGTTCACACGGTGAATTATTTATTCAGTGATTTATTGTTTTTTTTTTTTTCGGGGTGGGGATGGGAGAAATGTGAGGGTTTTGCATTTGAAGACTAACTGTGATGTGTTTGTTGGTGCAGTGATCCGGTGGGTGATATTTTTTTCATTTTGGAGTTGCTGGAGGATAATTCGGGATTACCGAGGAGAGGATGAAGCTGGAATATCCGTGCAGGGTCGAGGGATGGCTCAACGTCTGTGGTGAGTACTCAAGTAATAATAGAATTTATTTGAAATAATGAAAAGACCGGCAGTGGAAATGACGGTTTTAACGAGCATTTTTCGGAGACGATTGGCAATAGTGGAATTATCTCGGTAGTGGTTTGGAATTTTTTCGTGCCCTTAGGCTCATTGGAATGATGAGAAAAATTGATACTCAAAACACTAGTTGCTATTCGGTTTTACCCTAGCCGATTTACTGGAAATTGGAAAGTTGTGTTTCTGCTCTTAAATGCCTCGGGGCGTGTTTCTCAGGGTTGGGACTAATTGGATTTGCGACATGTGCATTTTGTTGGTAATTTTCCGAGCTTTCAATTGGCACTGGGCAAATGAATCTAGGTGTCTCGGTTGTCGAGGTATCGGTGAAAATGAGCGCGAGGGTAAATAGCCTCTTTGTCCGTTATCGTGGGATTTCTCCTCTTGGTTTTAAAATTCTTGGGCAATTTTTTTTTTTCTTTTCTTTCTTTTTTATCTTTCTCTGTATTGATGGGAACGAGTTGAAAAGGGAGAGTACGATGCGTCGACACGTGCTTGAGCTTTCGACCTGAATTCAAACGTTGTTTACACAGTTCGGGTTGAGAATACATCGAACACTTGGGCGTTTACGTTTTAGATGCGGTTTTTTTTTTTTTCCACCACTTTTTTTCCATTAATTTTTTCAATTCATTGGATTGAATGGGAATAGGAGAGAGTTCTTTATCGGGGAGAATGGATATGTGTTTTGTGGTGCACTGTTGCACTGCGGGTCGATTGATTATTGCGACTTTATGATCGATCGGGCGTCGAACTCGGGTTACGTTATTCGTGAATAATAATTTTGATGGATAATGAGGGAATTGTTATCGGTTTTTCGCGTTTAACGATTTTCGTGGGCGAGTTATGATGGTCTAGGGGAGATTGGAAATAGTATGGAAAATTGATCCGCGGCAATTACCGGCTTTCAACAGATATTGAAAATTCATTTTGCACCGTTAATTATCAAGTTACAGGGAACAATTTATTTTTCAAGTTATTTGCGTTTATCAATTGTTAAACTCGGGGAGAAAATGATTCCGTTGAATAGCTCAGGAAATTAATGATTGAAAATATCGATTGTGAATCCATTTGATCCAGTTGATCATAAAGTTATCAAAAAATTGCTGCACTACAATTAATTGTTCGATTAATTATGAATCGTAATTAATGATGAACTATTGGTGGCCCGGATGAGTTTTGGGGCTTTCCGTTGACTATTTATTTACTCATTAATTATTTTTATTTCATTGTCCGGATCAGATGGGTTCAGTGATAAATTTTTTTTCGCAATCCGGTGAAATTAATAATTCCCATTGCCCTTAGAATTCTCATTGTCTCAACTCTCAATTCTATTCTCAATTTATTGGGGATAAATTATCCGATGCACGTGTACCCCCCACTCATTCTTTAATTCCTTAAAAAAAAGAACTTATGGAGTAAGGTAATGGTCATGGATGTAATGGTAATGGTATTGCAAAAGGCAGAGGAGGCAGATGATAATAAATCGATGAATAAATCATGAGCACGGAGTGCCTGGGCGTCTTACAAGAGTAAAAAAAAATTGTTGAATAAAAAAGAGGAAAATGAATTGGAAAAATGTGGACCTTGGCCTTTTACCATATCAAATACAAATTGAATGGAGGAATTATCGAATGAGTGGGTGGATATATTTTCCTCGTCCTTCAATTTTTATTTCATTTTATTTTTTCGCGTAGAAAAAATTCTTTCAAGGGGAAAAATGAAGAATATTTGAATTCGCGTATTGCATCTCGCGTTTTGCATTTGGCGTCTCGCGAAGACTCGCGAAATTATAATTTATTGGGGGAAATTATTGAGTGGGTGGAGATATTTTAGTTCTCGCCCTTCACATTTTTTTTGTTATTCTTCTTTGGTTTTTTTTTTTAAGAAAAAATAGTTTATTTGGATTGACGTCGTGTGCCAAGGCACGTTCTGGTTGTCTATTAGTCTCTTACGTTTGCGTATCCTAAATACTCGGAGCTACTCGTTAGATATTTTTACACCCGACAACTTCTCTGCTCCACTTTGTAACAGACTCAATGCTTTTTCGGTAAGGGAAATTTTCTGGTTGAAATCGGGCATTAGGAAAAATTTAATTTGCTATAGGAGTATGTCTCGTTTGTTAATTTTAATTGGTGGATTAATTGATATTTGTATTGGGGTTGATCTTTCGAAATGGAATTGAAGTCCATTGAAAACGACAGCGAATAATTAGAGTCCGGAAGAAAATCTAAATAATCACGATAATTGCGTAAAACGTTGAAAATGCAGGAAAACGAAAGGATGACGTGAGTGGAATTGAGAAATCCGCGGAAACATCCGATCTGAAGACCCGTAATCATCTCTGGCTCATTACTCCCAAGAAATTCATCAACTCCTATTTCCCATGAAAGAGATAATTTATACGGAAGTGTTTCCCCTCTGATCTATCGATTTTTCAAAGCCCAAAATAACGTGTGTAAGTAGATACGTTGACATTCGGTAGGCGATAGAAGTTTCGGGTGTTGAAAAAAAAGGGTCAGGTGAGGGGCGGCTTCGGCACCTGCGATGATAATAATAAAAAAAAAACTCCCTCGTCTGTCAAACAAAATTCCATTCACGTGCTTCGGCTTTCCTGTCCTTTGCCCGTTTTACCTTCACAATTCTCCCCTTCCTACCACTTGTCGGTCCCTTCCATATTGCATTACCAAGCACAAACTCGCTGGGAATTTATCAATCAAATACATCGCATATTCAGGGATGCATTAGGTATGCTAAAATTATGATAGTCGAATCAGGTGGTGATTTTTTAAACAATAATCCCTGGGCATTTGTTCAATCACAGAGAGAAAGACATTTTTATATCTCCAAAAAATAGTCCCATTACTCAGAATCCAGAGATAATTTTTCTAAACAAAATTTTACAAAAATTATAATAATTATAACCAAGACAAGAATTTTCAACAGCTAGAGAAAAATCTAATTCGTTTCTACTCTTGAATTCAAAGAGGATTTTTCCGGTATATTTTCCATTTGTTTATTCATTTATTCAATTCAAGGATTATGGGGTAGAATGGACGAGTGGAAGTTTTTCATTTAGATAGATTTGTTTTAACGAGAGACCGTATGAAACGATTTCTGTGAGAGTTATGAATTTGTAATCTCGCGCCATTTAGGCGGACCAATGGGGAAACGCGGCTTCATGATTTCGAGATTTTCGAGATAATCGATTGTGTCAAGCGTATCCCTTTTAGTATAGAAACCTCTGGCTATTGTATGGACTGTGCAGACAGACGTATGACGTAGTTATAGGGAAAAGGAACATTACGGTTATACTGGGTAGAGTTTTACAGTTATGGCAACCTCATACTTCAATGCCATGGGCCGAACAGGATTGCTCCCACGTTGTTATATGACCGTGAATTGAGACATCTTGATACTGATGGCAGGGAGAGTTTTAATACCCGGGAATATGCACTGGCTTTTATTGTTACTGGTGGTGATTTTTTTTTTTTCTTCTTTTTTTTCCTTCTTTTGACTATTGTTTTCCCTCTGGTGAATTCCCAGGACTGTCAAGGATTATTCCGGGTATGAGGATATCGCGGTATTTATTTATTTAATTTATTTCACTCGCGGTTCAGCGGTTGTTTGGGTTTATGGAAGGGACGTTTCTGTTATTTCAGGTTTAGATTTCTCTCAGTCGAATATATTATTGATTACACATTCACATTAATTTCAAAGGCTATTGCATGAGTACACGTCGTGGTGTTCACACTTTTTTCTGGATTAAATTGTTATGTAGATGTCTCGAATTACTTGGGTTACCATTCGCAGAAAGCTCTCATGAAGGACGCACATTCGCGAATAAAAAGCGAAAGCCATCGGGGTGTGCTACCTATTTGCCAACCAATCCCTGTTGACACAGGCTCAACTCGTAATTAGATAAGGCTGTAGTCAGCCCGGTGATAACCTATGACTGGTTTATCTAGTATAATGGAGCTCTCACTCATATCGCCAAATTCCAAGTAACTCTAAACAAATATCTTCGCGATATTGATAATGCCTACTGTGGCAGCCCTGCACCCACAAAAGTCGTCCCGAATCAAGTGGAAAAATCAGTCGGAATTAACTCGAATTAATTGATACCGAGAATCGATTTATTTAATATCGAATCGATGGCATCAATCAAGTTTCACTCTGAAAAAATCGCTACATCTCTCTGATTCAAGTCCATTTTTATTTTTGCACATGAGGTTGAGTAATTTCTTATTTTTCGGATTGTGAAATGATCTGCAACTTGATGAATAGAATTTACAGATGAAGAGAGTACATTAGATTGAAGTTAATTGTATTTTCGGGGGTAGAAATTAAATTGTGTTAATGAGTCGATGGCCTCGGGTGGTGTTGGCTGTTTGATTTCAAACGAAATG